GGTGCATAGCCGCCATGGAGATCGCGATCACAATGGAAGAAGAGTCGAAAGACTCATCAGATGAGAAACCAGAGAACAACTCTGGTAACTCCGAAGCATCAAGCTTCGAAGTAGAGGACCCATATGAAGGACCTCAATACTCACCTGACTCAGAGGGTGAGGAAGTCAACATTGGGACCATAAGGATGGGCCCAATGTCAGTCGTCGATCACGACAACATAAGCCTATGCGCTATTCAATAGTGGAGCCGAAACGGATGCTTTATTGCCGGACTTTGTCCGCACAGTCCACATCCCAATTCTCCAATTGGAGAACCCAGTCGTCCTTCAAATGGGGACGAAAGGAACAAGATCACAGATCCTGTTCGGAACAAACGTGGATGTTGAGATTAACGGCCATGTAGAAAAACACTACTTCGATGTAATTAACATCGATAGATATGACACCATATTCGGTGCCCCCTGGTTAAACAAAAACCAGGTAAGCTTAGACTTCTGGTCCCACAAAGTGAGAACGGTGAACATGGGCAACATAGACACCCTTGGAGTAAGCGAAGACTGTGTGACGAGATCACATGGATGGAAAACTGGAGCAAGAGCTCAAGAACAACCAAAAAAGAAGCCCCCCTGACAGGGAGGCGGGATTGAAACACACCTCAGGGTAATCGAAAGAAAGTACCCTGAAGGTTGGCCCAATCCTAGTCCGGAAGGACTAGAACTTCCAGATGTACCACATCTGGAAGGTCTCTCCATGAACACCCCCGAGTTCAAGATACTCAGGGAGTGGTGGAGAGAGAAATTCGAAACCATAATGGCGCCAGCACCATTAGAAATGCCTCCCTTGAGGGAGGTGAACCATTGAATCTCGTTGAAGGATCCGAACAAGAAATTTTGGGAAAACACCCCAAGATGTCCTGCAGCACTGCAGGAAGCACTAGTGACCAAAATAGATCGCTATGTAAAAGCAGGATGGTGGTATCCCACGAACAGCGAGCAAGCATGCCCGCTACTGTGTATCCGCAAAGCAGATGGATCTTTGCGCACAGTAATAGACATGAGGAATCGCAACTCAAACACAATCCTCAACGTTACACCAATGCCAGACATGTGACTGATCCAAGAATAAGTGGCCAGAGCAACATACCGATCCAAGATCGATATGTCAGACATGTACGAAGAAATACGTGTGGATCCAGACGACGTCCATATGACGACATTCTCTACACCCCACGGGACGTACAACTCGAACACGATGCAGCAAAGAGACTGCAATGCTCTCTGCACCTTCCAGCGCGCACTGACCTGGGAACTACGAGGAGAAGTAGGCAGATGCCTACACATCTGGTTTGACAATATATTCACCAGCACAAGCTCGGTGGAGAACCACAATAAAGCATTATTGTGGTTGTTCACTCACCTAAAGGAGGCGAAATTCTACATAAGCCGGAAAAAATTCCAGCCATTTGCCCCAATCCTAGATGTTCTAGGAAGCCATGTGGACGAACAAGGCATCCACGCTCAAGTGGATAAAATGGACAAAATCCGCAACTGGCGAGAGCCAGTAGACCACACAGGAGTCCTAAGATTCCTGGGAATGGTAGAATACCTATCGATATTCATGCCAAACGTCAGTGGCTACACAGGACCACTGCAAACAATCTGCTCAAACAAGCAGACATTCAGGTGGACACCACTCCACCAGAAATGCTTCGACAAGATCAAACATCTAGCATGCAGGGCTCCGATCCTGAAGCCCGTCCAGTGGAATCCACCGGAAAGCCTCTTAGAAGAAGAGAGGACCAAACTCCACATCTGGGTCATAACAGATGCATGCCCAGTGGGCATGGGCACACTAATTGGACAAGGCGAAAAGTGGCAGACTTGCCGCCCAGCCGCATTCATGTCCAAAAAGTTCACCAACACACAATGTAGGTACTTCGCCTACGAGCTCGAGGCACTGGGTGTCCTCGAAGCACTCATGAGATGGCAAGATGATCTCATGGGAGGCCGTGAATTCACAGTAATCACGGACCACAAAGCTTTGGAATATTTCAAAGCGAAAAACCACAACTCAGGTAGACACCTGAGATGGCAAGCCTTCTTCACAAGCTTCAATTGTGAAATAAAATATGTGGAAGGCGACAAGAACAAAGTGGCAGATGCACTCTCACGGTACTATGACTCGTCAATGGACGAGGATCTGCATTTCGACAACTACGTGTGGGTGGACATCCATCTGGACAAAAATGCAGAAGATACTATCCCCGACAGAATCGAGGATTATGAAGAACTGCTACTAAGCAGTACCCTGAGTAAAAACTCAGAGAGAAAGAGACTCGCAGCGATACGCGCGAGAAATACCCTAGAGGAAGCTCTAGGGGGGAGCACCCAAAATCTGGAAGAAATCATAATTCCAGAAGAGAACCTTCAAAAACAATTCAAAGAGAAAGACCTCATTGAGGCAATAAAATCTGGATACTGGCAAAGCCAGATCCACCAGGAAATCCTAGAGAGCCCAGGGAACTTCAAAAACTTCTCCGTAAAAGATGGGCTGATAACCCGACTTGGAGAAGGAGGAATGACCCAACAAAAGGGAACTATGAAAGGAAGTCCATTCAAGGAATAATCCTCAAAAACATCCACGAAACACCTGGACACTTAGGATCCAAGAAAACAGTGGAAACCCTCTGTCAACACTTCTGGTGGAAGTCAATGAGGAAGGATACCCACAAGTTCTGCAGGTCTTGTGGAACTTGTCAAACAACAAAGAAAAGCACCAGGAGAAATCCCGGACTGCTTCACCCACTCCTGACCCTGGAGACACCATGGTCGTCAATAGCTATGGACTTCACAGGTCCATTCCCAACAAGGTTGGGATATGATTACCTCTGGGTAATCATTTGTAGGTTGACGTCCAACGTTCACCTAATTCCGAACGCACTAGAACTAGCATTCGTATTTCTTCATGAAGTTGTAAGACTCCATGGTCTACCACACTCGATCATATCAGATGGAGACTCGAAATTCACATCAAAATTTTGGTGCAAACTACACCGAATACTCGGTGTGCAGTTGAAATTCACAACTGCATTCCACCCGCAAGGCGACGGCCAAGCGGAAAGAATGATACAAAAAGTAGTACAAATACTACTTGCAATGGTTAGACCAGATCAACGTGACTGGGCAGCGAAACTGTCCATGGTGGAATTCGCGATCAATGCGAGCTCGAACACATCAACAGGATTTGCCCTTCAAATTAATCTACCACCATATGCCAAAGATGTGCCTAACAGCACCACTCTCGGACTACCTGGGAGTAAACAACTTCGCCCAAAAGGCAAAGGAAAACCTCATGGCAGCACATGATGCGATAATACACAATCGTGCCAAACAATCCAGGTGAATAAGAAAAGACGCCCGGACCCACCTTTGAGAAAAGGCGAGCTTGCATACTTATCCATGGATAAGCTGAACCTACCCAAAGGAAGGGCAGGAAAACTAAAGCCCTTATACATAGGGCCTTACGAAATTCTGGACACATTTCCAGAGACATCAAACTACGTCCTCAAGTTGCCACCACAACTTGAACAATGCGGAATCCACCCAAGATTCCACGTATCCTGGCTCATACCTCATGAGCTGAATGACCAAGAAATCTTCCCAAATAGGGAAGTAAACATATTCTAACGTTTTTAATAACTTAATAACTGTGTCATAAATGCTTCCTATAGCATCAAAATTGTCAAAAATCTGTCTCATATAACACATAAAGTACCACCACATCTGCCCAATGTATTCTCATCGGCTGTTGGGTAGTTGTTGTAAATAAACGCCATGAAACATTTCTCAGGCGTTTAAACGATATACAGGATTTTCCGACACTCGAAGTCATAAATCACATGACGATTGTAGTCTGGGCGAAGCCCTCTGTCTCATTCGAAAACACCCCAGTGGACTGTTATACATGAAGTTGAATTCTCCTGATTCCGACCCCTAGTCCCCCGTAATTTCCACCCACCCTTCCCTCACTCATCCCGGTGTTCCATCTCATCCAAATCCAAAGTGGGTTCCCACACAGGCAGCGGCCCAAAGAAGAAAAATAAAGAAAAGAAAAAAGGAAGAAGGAGGGAGGGAAGGCACTTCCGGAAGTGGATGAGGGGGGAGGGGAACAAAGAAAAGAATTCAGTGCAAGGTCCTGACATCACACTGCTAGGGAATAATAAGATTATAAGCACGCAACTCATTTTCCCCAAGGGCCATTTGATGGACATACATACCGGGGTCATGTTACTTTGCATGAGACAACAGCCCACCATGAACTTCTCCTACCTCATCCTCTGCTGGGTATATCCAGTATGACATTGACCTTAGTCCGTGTTCGAGCCAAGAGGATTTGAGTCTCACCATGTCGTGCATACATGCCTGAAGCATGTCCCTAGCATAATCTTCCTGGAGGACCCCATGAGATGAATGAATGGAATACACAGGAAGTGGGATATACTCACTTTGTCGAGAAATAGCTGCTTTGCGGCCAAGATGAGCGCCTTATCCAACACACAGAGGAACGGACTGCCATGCTATTCCCGTTCATGAGAGGCATCGGTGAAGAGAGTATCAGAAAGGGGGCTCAGGTAAGCTACTCCCTCGCCTCCTTGCGACCTCCCACACCCATCTTGACTGCGAGGAAAAAAACTCTCATCGGATGTGCCCATGGCAAGTGCCGGTGTTTGGTTCTGACCCATCACACTATTCCTGCCCTGTCCTGCCATACCCGCTGTCAGCACATACTGGTGCTGGTTAACTGCATAGCCAGTTGTGCCATCTGTGCTCGAGAAGCTTTGGCTCAAACCGAGGCTGTCGCTACCCCACCACACAAAAAACCCATGGTCGCAAGTCCCATTCCACACTTTCTGATTCAAGTTTGCTAACATACTAAAAGGGCGAGTTACAATCAACGCACTCTGATTGGTTACCTACCACCTCAGTCGACACACTTCCACAATGTCTCCTCTCTTTCCCGCTCTCTCATTAAAGTTCGATTTTTTTTTATCCATCCAGTTCGGTCCCTCCTCCTTGCGTTGGAGATCTCTTATTTGTTCAAGGTTCATTTATCCCTTGATTTGTCAACAAAGAGTCCATCCCTTCCTCCTCGCTCTCTTCCTGTACTACCTCCTCAGTAACAATCCCGGAAGAGATATGCATCCTATTACTGAGACGAATGCGTTTTTCGAATTCACAGGCACATCCACAAGCGCAGTGATCACTACTTCACTCTGGCCACCGGAGCGTATCAACCCACAGTAAGTGGCTTTAGTGGTTCAACCAGGAGTCCACACTCATCATTATGCAGTCAAAATCCGTCGTTCATTTCTTGGTCTACCTTATCATAGCAGCCATTTCTCAATCTCATTGGTTCGGCTTATCCTTATCGCGGTTTCATTACATATTGACACTTTTATTTTTAGGCAGGACCCAGCCTCTGTCCTAGATAGTAATCCTCAGTCCTCAAACAACCCTTTGTCTGACTCTTCACTTTCACCGATTTCTCATTGGGCTTTGACTTCCACTCCCACGTGGTGTTCAGTTACCATCTATCAACTTCAAATCATTCCAACTTCACTGACGATCTCGAGTGCCTTCGCATATCGTGGTCTTCGTTTGTCATGCCTGTTGATGTTCGGTGATCTGATTCACATCCATCCAAGGTATGCTTTAGAATCAATTTGTTGGACGGGCCCATTCAGATGCTGCCAAGTTATCGACCTCCTCATTTGGCTTGGCAGAACATGCCGGTACCATTCCACTCAAGGTATGCCAGCACGGCAGAAGGAGACTCGTCTTCAATGGGCTGGGCGTGAATGATGGAGAAAAACCCTTACCTTGACCCTGCTGCGCAAGCATTTCTCGAGGAGTTTAGATTCGGATCGTCCTCTGTCCGAGACGTGAGCGCTGAACTCGATCATCGTGTCAAGGTGCTCAAGGCAACCGGAGGGTTCTCTTCTGTCTACGCAACCGATGGGCCCCACCAGGTGCCCAGACCATTCGAGTGAGTCCCAGCCCACGTCGCTGTGGTTTGCGATGCATGTGATGTTGATCATTCTAGGTGTGTTACAAAGAATTATGGCCACTTTCCAGCAGTATGCCGGAGCAAATTAACCAAACTGGAAAATGAATGAAAGTCAGGTTTTTTGCTCACTGTTGTTCCCAGCACCTGACTCGTGAAGTCAGGATATGGAAGGAACTTTGGCACCCCAATATCCTTGAGTTCATCGGATATGCCATTGCAGGCGAACGGTCGGACATGAAGGCTATCTTAGTGTCCAAATGGTGTGCAAACAGGAATGTTGTGCAGTATTTAAGAGCACATCCAAACTCGAGTAGGACTGACTTGGTGAGTGTCAGTTTGCGATTGTCATACTGTTATTTTTGATGTATATCAGGTTGTTGGTATGGCGAATGGACTACACCACTTCACAGCTGAAACCCTCAATTGTTCACCGTGATCTGATGTCAGGGTCGCATCCGGGGTCGAGGTGGTCCGGGCGTAGCATCCGGTGCTAAGGACCTCACGGGGGGTGGATCGGGCGTGCGTACTGGCGGGCCTGATGTGGGACAGCGATCCCTGGCCACTTAGACTGAAGTGGGAATGTTGAGAAGAAGGTTACTTCTTCGGTTCCCACCCCAGGTGTGTTTATATACATGCGGCTTGGGTCACATGAGGTCCGCCACGTCACCCTGCATACAGCCGCAGTCACCCGGGTGTCCCTGTGGGGGATCCCGAGGGTGTATGCTGCACACGCACGCACTAGGTTGCGCCCTAGAGCCGTCCGGGGTCGTCCGGGGCTAGGCATGTCGTGTGCGCGTCCCAGGCGGGTCAATAATACATGGATATAAGGGAAAGGTCATCTGTGTGAAATAGAAATAGAAATAGGAATAGAAATAGAAGTGGGAGAGGGATAGAGGGGGAAGGGGTATGAAGGAGGGGTGCAGGGTGGGAGAAGGGGTACCGGGTGAGGTGGGCCCGGGTGGAGGCGGGTCAAGCGGGTGTGCCCTGACATCTGAAGCCAGTGAGTGGGACCCTCTTTGGCTCGTAGATACACTGCCCTTCCTAGGACAACATCTTGATAAGTGGTCAAGGTGCAGTGCAAGCTCTGTGACTTTGGTATGTCCCGTGTAATGAATGAATTGTCCAGAGTTGCCCAGACGACATTGACTCCGCTGGGATATGATACTCTTCATATGAAGTCATTGTTGAGGAGAAGAAGACAGAGTTCAGCGATGTCTACACATTCGGGTGCACATCAATACAGGCAAGTGTAACTTATTATCCAGAACAACGGAGTCAATGATGCCGGTTCCTCAGGTGTTGTTCGATCAACACCCTTTCCCCGACATAAAAAATGATCATAGAGTGATTGCTGCAGTTGAGAACCGACAATCTTCTTGGGTGTGGGACATGGATGTACCCATTCAACACATTCTTTCTCGATGCTGTGATCCACATCAGAATGAATGCCCGTGAATTAGCAGCACCCTCCACGATCTTGATCGCATCCTGGGAATGATGGTTGACGGTCTCTTACACCGACGTGTCTTGGTGGAAGGAAGGGCTCTGTGCCAAGAAAACCAACCAGACCAGCTCCCGAGCTCTGAAGCACCTGAGCCCCCTAGGAGTGCCATGGTCCCATTTTCGGGCCCCGGAATGTTTCCGAGCTCGAGAGTACCCAGTACCCCGACCCAGTTCCGGCGCTTCGAGGTGTTCCGGAGGGGAATACCTTATCCCCTGGTTCTGACGATACTGGTTCTGATGATACATCTACACGAACTGACTGGCTGTCAAAGATAATCAGGAGATTGTCAAGTTTCTTCCGCCTCGTCCTAGCAATAATAATTATCAGCCCTTTCCCACCTTTGCATCCGTTGGGATCATAATGTACAAGACTCATAACTTGGTCTCCTCAGCTCCAACAAACGGCGCTGTCGATAGTTCATTCAACAATGACGATGCCTATCACGTTGTCATTGGTGCGGGAGTTGTCGGCTTAACCATGGCCATCGAAATTCAAGAAAGGATTCCAAGCGCTGAAGTTTATATATATCGTCACAGAGGTTCTACCTGGGGATCCAAAGTCAATTACAAGTTTGTGGGCTGTAAGTGAATGTTCACGTCAACTATTCCCTGTTCGTGTCTTGACAATTGTAACTAATCCATATCGACTTGCTACTGTGAACAGAGGGCGCCCACCATGTTTCTCAAGCCGAAAATGAGGGCCAGCTTAGTTAGTGAATGACGGTTTCTCCACTTATTCTCAATCTCCATCCAGGGTTGGACAATAAGACATTCCGAAGGAGTCGGAGGGCAGGCATCCGGTGGTGTCCTGTTATTTTGCCTCTGCGTACTTGCATTGGATCAATAAACCGATAAGTACCAGGTCCTGAAGGATTCTGAGCTGATCAAAGGGAGTCTTTCTAGTGTGGAATTCACTGCGCTAACCATGGACACTCCAGTATAGTGAGTGATTTGTTGCCACCTTCCGCCATTGCACCACAAGTGAGAATGACACAGCCCAAGGGTCTGTTGTGTTGTATATATTATATTGTATTACAAACAATTGAGATGATGTGCCAGTACTGGTCATTCTGCTGGCCACAGCTCCCCCACCCCTACCCACTAGCTGTCTGCCTCATTATGTCCATTATTTGGAATCCGGCCCATTGCCCTGTTACAGTGTTGTGACAGTGACTCATTTGTCACATTGTCTGTGATGAATTTAATTGGATCTTTCCAGATCTCGATCTCTCACGATCTGAGTACCCGCTCCATCTCGAAAATGCCAGCAGAACCAGGATCTTCGCAACAGGTTGAGAGTCTCATGGAACTCGACTCCGTCCAGAATATCAAGGGTCTCCAATTCAACCTGATGCTGCCCAAAAAGTGGATTCAGATGAGTCCTGATGAGAAGATGGTGCAGTGCTCTCAGATCCGCAAGCAAGCGCTGATCGGAGTGGGAGAACTCCAGGTTTACGATGGTGATGGATTGAGACTTCAACTTGGGGGCCGAAATGCCAGGCCGATCCAGGACACCCCAGCCAAGCAGATCACTGAGGATGTTTACCGCTACTCAGGCCCTCGGCGCCTGACTACAGACATGGCACTGAATCTGGTTGTTAGGACTTCTTGGATTGATAAGGGAGAATGGCCACTAGGGATGACACTAGCAACTACAAATCCCTTCCCCTAATTACTTTCACTGAGCTTGGTCGCAGAGCGGTAAATGCCAACCAGGTTCATGTTATCAATGGCCAACATCGGTTAGTCTTTTGCTTCTCATACTTCAAATAAATTTCAAACTAAGACCCTTGCATAATATTAATAATTAATTCACATATGTAGAATAACAGGCCTGCAATATGCATACAAGCATGCAGTGGACGAGGTGAAACACCTTTGGGGTGTGTTGAACCAGGAGCATGTCAAGATGGAGACATTAAAGACATATAGACAACAGAGATATGACCAAAACTCTCGGAAAATGAGGACAACGTTCAAACGGAAAGTGCAAAGAACAAGCAGTAACGACCAAGACGAGCTTGATGGCCCACTAGAAAGGAAGGGATCTATTCTTAATCCACCCAAACTTTCATAATAAAAGGTTCATGCATCAATGAGATATTCATTAACAGGATGAGCAACATCAAAGTCATGGCTCAGGGAAAAGATGACGTTCACGCAAGATCCATATTTAAAACACAGAACGAAATTTACATGGAAAATATCATAAATTGGAAACTATCGTTAAGCAAAGTTTCAGCCCAAACGGTCCAGCCGTTGTGAAGTTACACCAACAATGGGAATTGTCAGAGACCGGGTTGAGACAAAGGAATGTCTCCATGGTGGAGGGCTTCGGCCTCAGCGACTTATGCCAGGAGCGCTGTGCCAAGTAACATGTCCATGCCCTAACTTACTAACTGGCTGTCACGGCCCCGCAAAGTCCCCGCCCCTCTACCACTTTCTGCACCCCCATTCTTGCGCCTGTTACTCACGCCCGTTAAATCGCGCCATTGCCCATCACTTAGCAGCGCCGATAGTGGTTCCCATCCTACGGCCCCATAGCAGCGCCTCCTTTGTTCTCCTGCCGCCACTTAGAGTTCCTCAGCCATTCGGCTGATACCGTTTTATTCTATTCATTCGCTTAACTAACTAGCAGTTGATATGGTGGCCGTTGATCCGCTCCTTATTGACATTTGGTTTATTTCTTTATTGACAATTGGTTATTCCTTTATTGACATTTGATCTATTCGTATATTGACATTCTGATCCGCGCACCTAGATTGTCAGCCTATTCATTCTGCCTCCCAACTTCACCGTCCTCTGTTCCATTCATTTCTTCTGTTCCATTTCCCTGGTTCTTATCACTCTTTTAGTTCTGTCATACTTACCATCCCGCTCCCGTCCCGTGCCGGACCGACCGGCCCCTTCTCTGTTCTCCTCTCGTATTTATACTTGTAGCTTACTGTCGATGTACCTTAGTTCGAATATTGACTAGAATTCCCCCCCAAGTACTCTCATCCTAAGTTCACCTCTCAACTTCATCCCCGCTTAAGTCAATGTCACCGCAAGGTCTTTCCTGCTAATGTGAAATATGGGACAGCCTAGAACGCGTGGCGCAACGCTCTGGCCAAGTCGTTGAAGCCGAAGTCCCAACCCCATGACGCCTTGCAACGGAGTAGCTCATTAGCTAAGTGACCACTCACACTGCCATACTCCGCTCCGCTTCCTGCGATCACCTCGAATACAGTTTCTGACACTGGCAACCAGAACTGAAGGGGGGTAAACTCTAGTCGATTTTATTACTGAGGTGTAACCTATGTACAAGTTGAGTATATATAGTTACAACGAGGGCAGGCCCGCAAATGGCGGAGCCAAGCGGAGCAGAGCTAATGGGTTTAAACATTAGCTGATTGAATATTACCGACAAGTGGGGTTACAGGGTTAACGGAATGGTAGGTGATAACCCAGAAACAGAAAGGAGGGATAGGCCCAAAGGTGGGCTTGCAGGGCAAGCGAATGTATTGCCCAGCGGAGGCAGGAGTGTGCTAGTGGATGTCGGAGCTGTCCGGAAGCCTTCAGGGCTCTGTACTTAGGGAGGCATTGTAACGGGTCTATCCAACTAGACTCGTGGCTCAGGTCTAGGGGGGGTAGGTCTCTCTCTAGTGTCAGACAGATGTAGTGGGGTCCTTGAGTACGGTGCTGATACTCTGTCTAACCTCTAACTAACTGTCTGTACAGTTGTCATGGAAGAGTCCGATACAAATATAAAAGGAAAGTCACATGTGTGAATGAATGAAAATAGTAAGGAAAATAAAGAACAAGTCATATCTCCTCAACCACTCCACCAAATCCGACGATCTTGGACCCGTCAGAACCACCTCCACAGTCGCTACAACTCCTACTATTACCATGACTCACCAATCCTAGTCCCTGATGCAGTAGGGGGTGAAATGCGTGATAAGGGTTGGTTTGACCTGCACGGACTTGTCCCCACAACAGCGTAGGTAATAAATTGAAAAGAGGGGGTGGTGACCATCGAGGGATACCGAGGTGATTGTGGAATACGGGAGCTCCGAGGTTAGTGAAGAAGGAGCAGAGGTAGTCTGGAGAGATCGGAGGTAGTGGAAGTCGATGGCCGTGGATGGATATGACAGTATCCCCTTCTTAGGCCTGAAGCCTCGAAGGCCCAGAATTAGTAAGGTGAGGGGAGCTGTACTTACAGAAAAGAAAAAATGAAAACAGAAGTGAGGAGTGGAGAGAAAGGGAGAGGTGGGAGAGGTGTCAGGGTTCCTAAGGAGCTTCAGGTCCAGGCTTATCTGGGTACCGAGAGTGGAACGCTTTGACAAGGTCGGAGGTGTGATCGAGTTCGCAGGCAAGGAGCCATTGTGTCTCCTCATCGGTCCCTTCATAGCCTAGCTACTTGACCAGGTAGAGCAACTTGTTGCATCTACGTCGGTCAATCTTGGGGTTGAGTATCTCTTTGATCTCGAACTCAATCTTGCCTTCGATTTCTATGGGAGGCAGAGGTGGCTGGTGGCGGTTCGGAATGATGTTCCAGATGGAGGGTTCGATCTGCGAGACATGGAATACTGGGTGAATGGCTTGCATGTTTTCCGGCAGGTGGAGAGTGAGGGAGTGAGTTCCAACACGGGCAATGATCTCAAATGGGCCGAGGTTTTTCTCAGAGAGCTTTTTGGAAGGTTGGGTGGAGCGGAAATACTTGGCCTTTACATAGACCGAGGTTCCTACCTTGAAAGCTGGGGCAGGAGTCTGCCAGGCCCTGATAACAGATCTGAGCGAGGTGCATTTCCTCGCGAAGGAAGTGGTGGAGGGAGTCGAGATCGACAGAGTACTCTTGGGTGTGTACTGATGTCAGGTCTCGCTCTGGGTGAACGGTGATGTTCGGATGGTAGCCTTTGTTGGCAAAGAATGGAGAGACGCCTGTGGTGGCATTTGGAGCGTTGTTGTAAGCGAACTCCGTGAGAGGTAGGAGTTTGGACCAATTGTCCTGCTGGTAGTTACTGTAGATGCACAGGTACTGCTTGAGCGTCTGGTTCATCTGTTTGGTCTGACCGTCTCCTTCCAGGTGATAACCAGAGGTGAAGTGGAGGCGGATGTCGAGGGCCTTACCAAGTGAACGGAAAAAATGAGAGACAAACTCCGGACCCCTGTTGGAGGTGACGTGGGAAGGAACTCCGTGCTTGGAGAACACATGGAGGAGGAAGAGCTTGGCCAGTTCCAGAGAAGTGATGGTATCGTGGGTAGGAACGAAAATGCACTGTTTAGACAGGTGGTCCACAATGACCAAGATGGAAGTGAATCTGGAAGAGGAGGGTAGCTGTTCGATGAAATCCATGGAGATGGAGTTCCAAGGACGTTTGGGGATGGGGAGTTGTTTGAGCAAGCCATAAGGCTTATGACAGGGGACTTTGGCACAGGCACAAGAAGTGCAGGAGGAGATGTAGCTCTTGATGAAGTTATGGATGCCCGGCCAGGTATACTCACGACATACTCAGTTTTGACCAAAGTGTCTGGAAAGTTGGTGGTCGTGTTTGTCTCGCAAAACACAGAGACAGAGATTGTTGGAATCCGGAACGTAAATGCAGTTGTCCAGCCTTAACAGGCCTTCGGCATCAATGGACCAGTGGGAATTGGGGAGGTTGGGGGAAGCGAGATGAGAGGAGATTGTGGTATCAGAGGAGAGGGAGGCTAGAATGTCTTGATGGAGAGCCTCTGTGTTGATGAGTACTGCTGCTCGGATTACTGTGGCAGCTAGGAATGTGGCTCGTAAGGACACAGTGAGCTGCTCCAAAGTGAAGACCGGTCATGTCAGGGCAATAGCCCCGAACCCCAAGCCACATGTAATTAGATACATATTGTTACGGGGATGGGGGAAATTCCCCATTCCTCGATCCGTTCTTATAGTGGGAAGGCGAGGGTCATGTCTAGTTTGTACCATAACTGGAAGTGTAATCGATGAGTGATCCCAGTCTGACCTGGGAGTGGGCGATCGAATTCCCATCGATCGCGATGGGTGATGTAGTGAGCTATTAAGGGATTGATGATTGATAGTCGGAGATATCAGGACAGATGGGTCAGCCACGGATACTTGGCGCTCCTCAATGGAGCGTACCGTGTGCGAGGTCGCGACTGGTGAGATGGGTGAGAGCTTCGCGTAGTTGCCATCGGGTACTTGGCGTTCGCAGTGCGAACGTACCGGTAGCGGGTCGATATCGTAGGCGTGCAATGAGGGCTGACTATTAGGGCCTTCGGTGACTTGGCGTTCCCAAAGGGAACGTACCGTTGGCGGGGACATACGATGACTGGCAAAGGAAGAAACAGACGGTGGATGGGCGGCTACTTGGCGTTCGCGTAGCGAACGTGCCGGCATCAAGGGTATGTGGGCCTCATAGTGTTCATGATCACCATGATCGTGATGGGACGTCGTATGTTGAGTACTGGGGGGAGAGCGGAGTGATGAAGACCCATAGGGTACAGGTTCAATAGGACGATACACACGTCGAGAGTCTTCGACTCTCGACTTCGAGTTCTCGCGGCGAGGGCCGTTAGAGGACTCGATATAACCAGACTTATAAGACATATTGAGAGTTGTACAGTCACACAGGTTCAGTTGAGTCACAGGGAGGGTTGTTACAGAAGACGGTACACGAGACAGTTGTAGAGCAGTTG